AAACCGTGAACGCTGCCGCACCGCCCTGCCCCGGGCGAGGACCGCCGTGCCGCGCCGTGCCTACTCGCCGCCCTCCAGGACGGGGCTCACCGCGAAGGCGCCGGGCTCCGGGGGGGGCTCGCACTCCAGGTCCCCCTTGGTGCTCTCGCTGCTGGACAGGCACCCCAGGCCGGAGTCCTGGCTGGTGGGCGGCGAAAACACTGCGAGTAGGGGGAAGAGACAGAAAAAACACAGCGCCTGAGACACCCCCCCGACCAGAGGGGACCCACGCGGGCCTCCCCTCCCCGGGAAGAGGGGCGAGGGGGTGTCCCCCCCGGCATGGCGGGGTGCCGGCCTCCCTCCTCCGGCCAAGGTGGACGCAGCGGGAGTAACAATGTGGGGAAACAACCTCGGGTCTGGGGGCCGCACCCCCTCCTCCCCCAGAAAGTAACCTGCCTACAGACCTAAGGCCCTGGCTCGGGCAGCCCGAGGTTAAGGCCAAATATTAAAGAATTTAAAACTAATACGGTGCTAGGAACGGCTGCAACATTGCAATTTGCAGTAGATACAAAAACCAAGTAAAAGGGTCTCTGACCTTCCTAACCTTAGATAGTTGAGATCCACCCCCAACACTCCCTTCCTGCCTACCGTGAATATAATTAAGGGGAAGCTGCAGTGGTAATTTCTCTCCTCATTAACTTCCTGATTGGTTTCAGGCTCAGGATTCCGGCAGGCGGCAGTTTGTCACCAATTCCAAATGGCCAATCGTTAATACTAATGTTTGTGTAACTAACTGCCAGCATCTGCCGCGGCTTCTTGTACAACAATAATAGTGAAAGGGTAACATTAGTGCTTCCCGTGTTAATTCAGATTCTGTTCATCAATACGAAAATCTATGATGTAATTAGCAAAATGCATCGGTAGTTGAGGCAGTCGGAGGGAACTAAATCACAGCGGGAGCTCCATGGGCCCCTGACACCTTAATCATCAATACTTACTATGTTCTGGATTTTACTGTTTAGTGGAGAATATTACCAGGCTGGGATCTTTTAAAAGAGAATATTGTTTACAACCATTGCTTGTTTTTTAGAAGCCATGATGAATCTAGTACAACCGCGCAAGAACAAGGAATACAGAGTTGAGGCTTAAACTCTGTCCCCAAACCGCACCACTGTGCCTAAGCGAGCAGCTCCTCTACGCTTGAGCCCTGGGTGCTTGCAGGCTCCAGGGACTTCTGGCACATCTGAAGTTCAATGAAAAAGAAAAGGTCAGGCTTGACTTTCACAGCCATGCAAATCCAGTGGGATTCAAGGAAAGTAAACAGCAGCCATCTGGGTTCACCCCATCACTGGAAAAATGAGAAACACTCTCTTAAAAAACCCCAACATCCCATTTCTGTAGTATCGTTATGTTTCTTCAGTAACTTCCATTTGCAGCTCAGCTTCCTGATTTGTCCTTATTTTAAACATGACACTGGTTACCAGGAGATGGAAAAGACATTATGGAGTTGAGGTTTCATGTATCATTTTCACCTGTTTTCCTGTGACTAGATAAAATGGCAATTTCTGTTACTTTCAAGGAGTTTTGCCCATTTTTGACATTGCAGAACCTGGCTCTTTGATTTCATGCAAGTCTCTCCTTTGACGCATGTAAGGGACAAGTAAGGCTCCAACATCACTCTGCCAAAGCAGACTCTACTATTACCTTTTAGATCTGACATAAAATGTTTTTTTTGTAACCTGATGAATGGGATATTAACCCCATACTACATTTTCTCCCAGCTAAAAGACACAGAAAAGAACGCAGAGCTTAGATATGAGGGAGTGACAAAGTAGTCACGGCAACTTCCAACAGTTTTTAGACATCTTGTGAATGCTGCTAATGGTTTAATTGCACAGAAAGAGGAATCTGGATCTGGAGCATCGTATATTCCCCCGCCATGTGGTCAAACGCACAAAACAGCCAGGTCTCTCCAACATCTCCAGGCCTGAATAACCATTGGACTGCTGGAGGAGGGCACTGATTTGCACCCAGAGCGGGCTAGAACAGCACTTGGGTAACCTGCAGTTGGGAACAACTTTGTAGATTTTCACTTTTTCTAGCCCACCAATCCTGAAACCCAGAAGCGCTGCAGGATCAGAAACGCTCCTTGCGGGGTGCAAGAGCTAAGCTCTCTTCTGCCATGAGAACATACCAGGCGATTCCTGATGCTGTTTCCTACCTCCCCTTTTCAGTGTGTAAGTGGGGTTGATGGTGGAGTCCAAGGAGAAGTCACATCTCCCCAGTTTTCGGATGAGGATGCAACTTGTCTTTCCACTTCACTTCCACTGCTACATCTGTGCTTGAGATTTCATCAGTGCCTAAGAGCTCCTAGGACTTGAACCAGATGCAAACATGCAGGTTAGGGAAAATGAATGGAGGAACATTTCTGCTCCTCTGGAAGGGAAGCTGGCTCACCTGGTGAGACAGGCTCACAGCACAAAAATACTCATTGGGTGGCCCAGTCTGCACCACACTCCCATGATCTGAAGCACACACCATGCATTATTTCTGGCGAGTGACTTGTTGGAGTGGTTCATGCTTTGACTACTACAAAACGAAAGAACAGAGATGCTCTGTAGGCCCACACCCCAATGTCAAAGGGGAAATCACCTACAGAAAAGGCAGCAATCGGCACCTCTCCTGACGTGTGCTAGAGACTAGCTCCTCAATGGTCATTCAGAGGCTTAGCTTTTGCCTGCCAACACCACAAGCTTTGGTTGGATCTGGCCATGTCTGGCATCAGGAATCGTCTCTTTCTCCATGAGGTACCTTGCATTATGTAGTAAACAAACAGCAGTGTGGCTTCAACAGGGCTGGCTGGCTCAAGGACTCAGCTCTCTGACTCTGAAACCTCATTCTGCTCTGATCTAGCAAAGCCCAATGTGCTAAGATTTAGGACATGCTGTAAGGAATCTCTCTGCTCCCAGGCTCCAGGGCAGAAGTATGAAGGAAGCGATTGGGGTTGAAAGGGGACAATTTTTTGTTTACTCCTGAGTAGCCAAATGGGCAAAAGGCTTATTTATTTTAAAGGCTTTGTTAATATTTTTAGTGTGCATGTGCCTGGAGTGATGGAAAGGCCCATTTTTAAATACTGAGATCTATAAATCTCTGTGACAAACTTACAGAAAGTTTTTTTTCTAAATGGAAAGAATCCAGCAGAAAACCCACCCAACATGCTACAGCATGGATGTTAAAACGCTACCACAGTAAAACTGCCACTTTGTTTTTATGATCTATTTTTCCAGCAACCCTACGTTAATTTATTATAAACCTGGGGAATGACACAGAGGGCAACTTTTTTGGTAGACAGACACCCACATCTGTTTCTTAGCACCTCAAGCAGTGGCTCCTAAGCCTTCTGGACCAGTGGAGCTCCACCAATCTTCCAACATTTCTCACGGGGCATCAGACATCCTGATCAAACTTCAAATGGAAAGTGTCATTATATGGGAACAGTTCCAGTCACCAACTGGTTGGTCCCACAAACCGTCTCAGGGTCTGAAGCACTGACCTAAATAACATGGGTTGTTCTCCACTGACTTCTAAATTGATCACAGTTTTGATGGTCAGGCAATTTGGGCTATATATGCTGGTCTCTGAATGTACATAGGGGTATTTAACTACAGCCACATAGATTTTAAAAATAACCTGGTACTACCGAGATACTACCTCTAGCAGACGACAGCGCTACGCCTCTATCCAAACCTGCACTGCTTACGTGGACAGACTTTCACTTCAAGCAAGAAGTAGTGGGTAAGTGCAATGCTGATAATAAGAGCAAGATACTCGGATTGGGACTTGTAGCTATAAAAAGGCAGCAAAAAGGAAATGAGCAATTCTGTTCCAGTGTTTTAATCACACAGCAATAAAATGTAGAAGTTCCAAGTTCAAAGAAACAAAACCCATGTTCTTTTTGATTTAAGTCTATGAGTTTCATCTGTTTGAGGCTTGCGGCTGATCCTCCCACTGTTGTTACACAGCCCTTATCTGTGTAAATAACAGTACCAGAATTGGGTCTGTGGCAGTTTTTAAAGACCATTCCTTGATCTAATTACCTTTTACCCTTGGGAAAGCACCTGAATTCTTTTGAGCTAGATGAATCTGAAAAATTTTCAGCTAATATCACACAGGAAAAGAAGCGAGAAGGGATTCCAACCATAAATGCAAAACCTTACATCTTCTGACACTGGAAACCGCATTGACTTTTAACATGAGCGATCCCTGGAATTCAATGGACTGAAAAGAGTAATACACTTGCAGTGATGTGAGAAAGCAGAAGGACATTCATGCTTGAAAAGTAAATATGTTCCCGAGTTTACATTTAAAAAACTATGAAACTCTCAATAAGGAGCAATTTTAAAAGATTTAAAGTTGAGAGGTACAATCCATTTTTTAAAACTCTTTCACCTTCTTCTTCAGGGAAAAGGAAAATAAGTAAGTATGCCAGTCCCACATGCTGCTAAGGCCCAGGCACTTCTTCCCGGTGCGCACACATATGTGTGCAAGCACAGCCACGTATGCAGGATGAAGGGGAGCGGAACCAGACTGCCACTGGCAGCTCGAGGGCACTGGAGCATGACTAAAGCATGCCTGGGTTTTCGGTGTGAGGGTGGACAGGAACTGCTCTTCATGGTACCTTCTCCCCTGTAGCCAAAGCACTTTCCTTTTGCAAATACCACTGAAAATGGATGCTGTCTAAGCAAGCAGTAACTTCCACTCCAGGCTCCACAGATCCTGTATGAAGTGTCTCGAGAAACAAACAGGCCTGGGAAACAGGTGGCAGTCAAACCAAGAAGCAAGCCACGCTACCTGTGTGAAGGGTGGAACAAGAGAGAATGGCGTCGGCACTCTCCCCAGGTTACCATCTCAAGGACTGGCAGCGGTCTTCTCGGTGCTGCTATCGGACATAGCGGGGTGATGGGCAATGCTCTGAAGATAGGCTGGCTTGGTGGCCTGGAAATACCGTGGGTCGAATTCAGTTTGAAAACACAGCCCCGTTTCCACCCAAGTGGCAGTCCACCCTGCCAACTCCACTGCTCAGATCGACCTCGGAGGGCTGACTCTACCACCCACCACCAGCAAACAGCCTGCCAAGCTACAGCAACTACCATAACACACATGGCAACTGCCTGACAAAGCATTAGGTAAAAAAAACAAACCAAATCAACTAAACAAAAAA